CTGCTTCTCCCTCTGACCCTCCTCCCTCTCATGCTCTCTGTCTCTCATTCTCTCTCTCGCAAATAAATAAAAAAAAAATCTTAAAAAAAAAAAAAGAAGTAGGAATATCAGGAAAAAGAATTTGGAAGTTTGAATAGTAAAAAAAAAAAAAAGAGAAAGCTTGTGGTTGGAGAGTAGAAAAACAATTAAAACCAGAAAAACCATGAACAATCCTTTCATGTTAATACCTTAGAATCTTCAAAGCCCTTTCAGATACATGTAACAGTTTACTCCCTCAGCCATTGCTGACCACCTAGTATGTATAAAGCCTGTCCTAAGTATGAGTGATGAAGTATCATGATGAACGCAGTGGTCTGGTTGCCAGATTCCCGCTCTACTTCCTCATTCCCTTTTGTAGGAGTTCATTCAAAAGTGCCTGCATTCTGAGCCTGCTCGCAGACCAACAGCCAGAGAACTTCTGTTCCACCCAGCACTGTTTGAAGTGCCCTCGCTCAAACTCCTTGCTGCCCACTGCATTGTGGGACACCAACGTGAGTCCCCTTGGCCCTGCTAGGAATTTTCTACCCGTCCGGAGCGTTAATAACTATCACTAGCAATGCTCTCTTTCTTTTCCACTTCCAAAGGAATTTTTTACCCCCCAGGATCCCTGGGCCTTCTGGGACATTAATCTAACAACTTTCCATTTCATCATGCCCTCCAGACATGATCCCAGAGAATGCTCTGGAGGAGATCACCAAAAACATGGATACCAGTGCTGTACTGGCTGAAATTCCTGCAGGACCAGGAAGGGAACCAGTACAGACTTTGTGAGTAACTAACTGAGAGGGTCTGAAAGGGACAGATTTGTCACTACCACTGAGGGTTCTGTCAGCTGTCCATTCTTTGGGAATTGTTGAATCTGCTGTTTTGCTTATTTCCTTCCTTTCATGTGCTTTCTCTTCTCCTGTAGGTACTCTCAGTCACCGGCTCTGGAATTGGATAAATTCCTTGAAGATGTCAGGTGAGAGAAGGGTGAGAGGAAAGCCTTGCTTGAAGAAGCAGGGTGGGTGTCCTGAGACATTCACAGAGCCCGTGTGACCTGTTTGATCTCGCTCTAGGAATGGGATCTACCCCTTGACAGCCTTTGGGCTACCTCGGCCCCAGCAGCCACAGCAGGAGGAGGTGACGTCACCTGTTGTGCCCCCCTCTGTCAAGACTCCAACACCTGAACCAGCTGAGGTGGAGACCCGCAAGGTGGGGCTAAGGGCTGTGCAGGTCTCTGTGGTCATGGTGGAAGGGAGAAGAGGACACATCAAATAAGGCTTTGTCCTTTAGAGAAAAGAAGGTGTTTCTGGTTTCTAGCAAGCTTGTCCTGCAGGCTGGAAAGTCTTCTAGCTGTTCGGGGCTTTTTATTTCTTGGTAATACTACTGTGGTGACCCTCTGCATCCCCTCTCCCTAGGTGGTGCTGATGCAGTGCAACATCGAGTCAGTGGAGGAGGGAGTCAAACACCACGTAAGGCTCAGGGCCAGGGCTGCAAAGGGCTGGGTGGCCGGGGGTGGAGAAGGGGAGCCTCATTTTCTGACTGTCCTCTTCTCCAGCTGACGCTTCTTCTGAAGCTGGAGGACAAACTCAACCGGCACCTGAGCTGTGACCTGATGCCAAGTGAGTCTCTCCTTTCCCTCCGAGGATGAGAGTCTCTGAGTCTTATCTGTGAGGGACATTCTTAGGGGTGGGGAAGAAGGTTACAGGGCAGAAACACATTGACGCACATAGAACAAATAGGTAGACGTGGCAGTTTTGCTTGTATCGTTCTTTCCCAGCTGGGCTGACCCGACGGGCTGTGGGCCCCTTACTCGCACACCGTGCTCACCGCCTCCCTTTTCTCTGTCAGATGAGAACATCCCGGAGTTGGCAGCTGAGCTGGTGCAGCTGGGCTTCATTAGCGAGGTGAGCTTTCTGCCTTCAGCCGCCCTGGCCGCTCCATTCTCCTCTCGCCCTGTCTCACCCAGCTCTTCTCCCCCAGGCTGACCAGAGCCGACTGACTTCTCTGCTAGAGGAGACCCTGAACAAGTTCAATTTTGCCAGGAACAGCACCCTCAACTCAGCCGCTGTCACCGTCTCCTCTTAGAGCTCACTCGGGCCAGGCCCCTAATCAGAGCTGTGGCCGTCACTAGACGTGCAACAGCCTTCCTGCCCCCTCCCCCCAGTCAGTATTACCCTGTGAAGCCCCTTCTCTCCTTTATTATTCAGGAGGGCTTTGGGGCTCCCTGGTTCTGAGCATCACCCTCCCCCTTCCCCTTCTCTTCCTCCCCTCTGCACTTTGTTTACTTGTTTTGCACAGACGTGGGCCTGGGCCTTCTCAGCAGCCGCCTTCTAGTTGGGGGCTAGTAGCTGATCTGCCGGCTCCCGCCCAGCCTGTGTGGAAAGGAGGCCCATGGGCACTGGGGGAGCTGAAGTCTACAATCCCGCTGGGGCCGACGGGGTGGGAGAGAAGGGTGGTGCTGCAGTGGTGGCCCTGGGGGGCCATTCGATTCGCCTCAGTTGCTGCTGTAATAAAAGTCTACTTTTTGCTAAAAGCGTCGTGTGTGTGTGTGTGTGTGCGCGCGCGTGTGTGCGTGTGTGCGCGCGCGCGTGCCTTCGCCGCCAGGGGGCGCGGGCTCGGAGCCCCGGCCGGGGCGCGCGCGGGGCTGGGCCTTCAGGTGGCGAGCGGGAGGGACTGGCCGGGAGAGCGAGGGCGGGGCCGGGGCCAGGTAGAGAGAGCTGCCCGGCGGCAGGCGCGGAGGGCCGCGATGGGGTGCTGCCGCCTCTACAGATTCGGTAATTTCCGGCCCCGGGCTCGGTCCCTTCCGTCCGCCGGCCACCCGCCCCACAGACCCTGGTTCACCGGCGGGGGCGGCGGCCACGAGGGGCCCTCCGGTTCCTTTCCCGGCTCAGGCCTGCCCTTCCCCCCGTGCTTTGCAGACGCGGCCCGCGGCCCCCGGCGGCTTATGCGCGTGGGCCTCGCGCTGATCCTGGTAGGCCACGTGAACCTGCTCCTGGGGGCCGTGCTGCACGGCACAGTCCTGCGACACGTGGCCAATCCCCGCGGCGCCGTCACCCCGGAGTACACCACGGCCAATGTCATCTCCGTGGGCTCGGGGCTGCTGGTGAGCGCGGCGGGGGGCGGGGCCGCGGGCGTGGGGGAGGGGAGGCGGGACGTAGAGCGGCGCGGGCTTCAGTCTTTGTGTATTCCAGAGTGTTTCCGTGGGACTTGTGGCCCTCTTGGCATCCAGGAACCTTCTGCGCCCACGACTGGTGAGAGGGGATTTCTGGAGCTTTAATGAGGCTTGGGTCAGGGAAATGAGGACCCGACTCAGCTTCATCTTTAAGTGGGAGGAGGAGCCTCAAACAGAGAAACCAAGGTGCCTTATAGTGGGAGACAGCAGCCGGCGCGCCCAGCCGCTCACCCTGATCTTCTGCCCCTGCCAGCACTGGGCCCTGCTGGTGGTAGCTCTGGTGAACCTGCTCTTGTCCGCCGCCTGCTCCCTGGGCCTCCTCCTTGCTGTGTCACTCACTGTGGCCAACGGTGGCCGCCGTCTGATTGCTGACTGCCATCCAGGACTGCTGAATCCTTTGCTACCGCTGGACCAGGGGCCTGGACGGGCTGACTGCCCATTTGACCCCACAAGAATCTATGTGAGTGCGTGCTCTTCTCAGCCTTTTTGCAGTCTCCAGGGCCTTGGCCCTGGCCCTTTCAACCACCCCTACTTGTTTACTTCCTGTCCTGCTCCCTCTCAGTCCCCCCTCCCCCTTTCCTCTTCGCCTTGTAGGATACAGCCTTGGCTCTCTGGATCCCGTCTTTGCTCATGTCTGCAGCGGAGGCTGCCCTGTCTGGTTACTGCTGTGTGGCTGCACTCACCCTGCGTGGGGCTGGGCCCTGCAGGAAGGAAGGGCTTCAGGAGCAGGTAAGGAAGAGGAACAGGAAGGGCTCATTCAATACGGACTGGCTGTGTTGAAAAGTGCTGAACTATAATTCGGGGCAGGAGTACTAACTCCATCCTCCCCTACAGCTAGAGGAACTGACAGAGCTTGAACTTCCCAAGTGTAAAAGACAGGAAAATGAGCAGCTACTGGATCAAAATCAAGAAATGCAGGCATCCCAGAAAAGCTGGGCTTAGGACAGGTAATATGTGAGAATTGGGGCCAGGGAAAGGGTGGAGGCAGGGAACCACTCTTAGAACTGGGTCAAGTCCTTTGCTGTGCTGCTTGCCCTCTGACCCAGGTTCTCCGTTCTGTGGAGCAGGTGCTGATCCAGAGGCTCAGTTCACAACGGTGACATAAACCCCGAGATGACGTAAACAGTTGTAATAAAAGAACTCTTTTCTTCTACTTGATGATGATTCCTTTTCCGGGGAAAAGGGCACTAGGCTGATGTTGGGGATGACTTTATTCAAAGAACACAGCGGTCTCCACTACCTACAAGACTTTAATGAGGGAGAGAATCCAGTAGTTCTTCCCCGAGCCCTGCCAGTTACTGAAAGGAAAAGCTGGTGCTGGGTAGCCCTCCACACCACTGACTAATGAATTTCAGCACATCCTGGCACACTGGACTATGGGAAGTCTGTGGACAAACAGAAGAACAAGAGAGGAATGCATCAGTGCTAAGGAAAAGCATTCCTTCTCTAAAGAAAATCAACCCCATCTTGGTAGGGAGAGCAGAGTTCAGGGCCGGTACCTGCCTTCTTGACATTTCCACCACCCTTCTAGTAGTTTCTTATTTTCCTTCAGTGCTGCTCTCCCTGTCCCCACCCTCCATGTCTCCCTCTCTAACCTTGATAGCCATAAGGAACTTATTCCAGTTGTCCTTGTTAGCTGCCTTCCCTGGCCGCTTAAATTCAATTTTGTTCCTCAGAATGGGGTATCCTGTGGGGGAAGAAAAAAAGATGAACTGGCATTTTAGGGGGAAAACCAAGAGCAATTTCGGAGTAAGATACTCTCTTGATCCTGCTGTGTTCCCTTCCTTTCCACCCACCACAGAACGTGGGTTGCTGTAGAGTTCTGTACCTGTAATGAGGCAGGGTAGTGCCCGAACTCCAGTGCTCGCTGCCACCAGGGAAGCTTCGTAGGCACCGCGCTCATCCCGAGGCAAAACCTGCTCCAGCCGCTGGTCCATTGAGACTGTGAGTACCCAGTCTCGAACCTCTTCCCTCTGAGCCTCCTGGGAAGGACAGAAGGAGCAGCAGCTTCACGCAGGGCAGGGCAAGTGGAAGGTGGTGAGTTGGGAGTCTTACTTAACTGTCGTCCTGTGCATCATCTTTTACCCATACATGATCCTCCTTGGATGGGGTTCATGGTCACCAACTTAGTTTTCTTTTTTCTCTCCTTCTACTTTCACTGAAGGAATAGCCCTTCCAAAGATGTTGCTAGCTGATGCCCGTTACAAAGGTTGGGAGGACCAACATAAAGTGATAAAGTGTCCTCCCTTCACAGCGCCCTCACACCGGTGAGGCCTTCCCTGTTCTCCAATCTCGTTCTCTTACCGGTACGTGCTGCTTGGCTGGGAGTGGCACCTCAAAGGGAATGTCTGTATCCTGAAAGTCAGAGTGGTCAAGGGCATCCAGAGTCCCTTCTTCGATTGCCTGCGGCAGAGTGGGCAGCCATGAGATAGACACAGCTTGTGACAGGCAAAACCTCCCACCCTCTGGGCACAACTTCTCTACTCACATCAGTCAGATCCAAAAAGCGGTTGAGGAAGATGAATGCCATGTTCTCCCAGCCAACTGCCTGCAACAGAGAAAAATTGCAAGTGGGAGTGAGCAGCTGGGATTTGGATGCTGCTTCTCCAGGATGCAGGGGAAAGAATCCAGGAAGACACAAGAAAACGATGTCCTCCATATCATCTGCCCCAAACTCTGCTTTGCTCTACCTGAGTAGACAGCATATTCTACCTCCCAACTTTTGATGTCCCTATCTCCTCGGCCACACCCTTCCTTGTCCCAGCTCACCTTGGCAGCAATGCCTGCTTCATAGAAGGCCTTGTCTGCAGGTAGGAGCTGAGTGTGGCGTAAGAGCGAAACAGAAAGCCTGGCAGCTACAGATTAAAGTCAAAGCATTATGATCCTGGCACTGTAGCGACTAAGCTACCAGACCAGTGATCTTATAACTAAAGTAGCCAGAGAACCAAAAAACCAGTAATACATATGAAATTGCTCTGGATCTCAAGCGGTTCTGGGTCTTTCTCCTCTGCACAAGAGAACTAGGCCTAGATTATTTCTATCATTCAGGTACACACAATAAATTTACATTATGCTATCACGAATCAGCCAAAGAAGTGTGTATGTTGTAAGAGATCAATACAGAAATTGTGGGATTTGAATGTTTAAGTATAATGAGGCTGGAGCTATGTGGGCAGAGTCCTAAGAAGGTCAGTGGAGGAGTCCAGGAAGAAAACCACCTCAGCGAGGGTTAAAGATTTGTTTAAACAGAAGAGAAGTGGACCAAGTTTGAGAATCCAGAACTTGAATTCATTCAACTTCAGACATTGGAAGATGTGTCTGTAAGACTGAGTGCTTCCCCCCACCCACCCCCCGCCCAATCTCACCAGCTGTTTGACACTCTGGGCAGCTGAGCGAGTGGCATAGTAATGAGCAATCAGCAGCATCGTCTCAAACTCCTCATGGGCTGGAGAGTTTGCCTCACTAGACTTCACCAGGTTTTCACACTAGAGCAGGAAGAGAGCACAGCCTGGGTCAGGGGTTGGAGGAGTGCCGGAGAGCTCATGGCCACCTGGACAAAGGTGCAGCCCATTTGAAGGTAAATGTTTATGTGCCTGAAAGAAGAGAGGGGGATAGGGACAGGTGGGGTAGCCTTGTAACTCTGTCATGGACCTGACTTCCTCACCAAGTTAAAGAGCACGTCCCGAAGATCAGCCCAGTTGTGATAGGCCTCAGCACTGTTGGTCCCAGGTGAGCTCACCATGTCCGTGAAGATCCTTTTGTAGATGTTGAAGTTCTAGGGGTAGTGGGGAAAGGAGAGCTGAGTGAGGAGGGGTAACTAGAAGAGAAAGTGCATGTGGGGCCGAAGAGGATACAGGCTGTAAGCATGCATGTGGAGGAGCTAGGGGACAATGATGGAGAAAGTGTTGATCGTTTTCAGGAAGAGAAAGAAGAGTAAGAAAATAACTTTCTTACAATTGGCAGTCTGCGTGTGGACAGATGTGTGAACGCGAATGCAGTCACACGTTAATGGACTGATACTCCATTGAGCTGGGGTGCTCAGGTAGGAGAGCAGTGTTTAGTCTCTGAAGGAAGTTAGTAAGGCCCTAGAGGTGTGTGCAGAATTCATCTCTGAAAGGCTTCCCTGTGTTGGGCGCCTGGGTGGCTCAGTTGGTTAAGCGACTGCCTTCGGCTCAGGTCATGATCCTGGAGTCCCGGGACTGAGTCCCGCATCAGGCTCCCTGCTCGGCGGGGAGTCTGCTTCTCCCTCTGACCCTCCTCCCTCTCATGTTCTCTGTCTCTCATTCTCTCTGTCTCAAATAAATAAATAAAATCTTTAAAAAAAAAAAAAAAAGGCTTCCCTGTGTTAGCTAAGAGCACGAGGAGGTTGCTGAAGGTATCCTCAAACGAGAAATCTTGAGTGGCTGTACATTTCAGAAGACGCTGGTGTCGGGGGGGGGTCCCTGGGCATGACGCTGTCTAAAAGAATCCTTTGAGAAGACAGTTGCCGAGGGAATGGGTGGTTCTTGAGGAGAAGGTAAGACTTTCCTTGGGGAACATTCACCCTGAGCAGCAGGCTGGTACCTGTGGGTTAGCAGGAGCTCCGTGCTGCACATACAGGGCTAGTGCCTGCCCGTAGCCACCCTCTCGGATCAGGTGAGTCGCATACAAAGCCACATACTTGTGCAGAATCTTGTAGTTCTGTCCCAGAGATGGAGGAAAAGCATGGGGAGGTTGGGATCAGTAAGACCAGGCAGAGAGGGTGGGGTGGTAACTTGAGGCCATGGATTTGTTTAGGAGGCAAAGGCCTGTGTAAGTCAGGCCCAGCTAGGCCTCTGACTCCAGTTTCGAAAGGGTGGAAGACTGACTCTCTGATGCTGGTTAGGGATCTTTGGGGTTGGGCTTTGGAGGAAGTAAGAGAGATACAGCTCTGGGGCAAGGGGAGCCAAGGGAAAATGTCCAGAAGAGCTAGGGATGGGAGGAAGAGAGCAGTACCTGCTTGGTAGCCGTTTCAATGCACTTGTCCCACTGGCCCTGCTCCACATACAGGTCCAAAGCAGCCACCACATCCACACCCACCAGCTATGGATCAGTGGAAAAGACAGAGTTAAGAGGACAGACATGACATGAGCGGGGAGAGGAGGAGGGAAATCCCTTGAGCCTCCATGTGTTTGGCCTCTTGCTAACTCTCTGCAAGTCTCACCGAGTCCACTTTGCCCTGGTTCTTGAGGAACTCTTTATAATGCTGGTCCACGTAGTCTTCATACCTGTGAAGATGTACAGAGATCTAACACTACACAGTCCTGGGATGCACACCCTTCCCATGAGAACTTCTTCCTCCTCCTTACAAAAGGAAGTAAGAGAACTTCCTGGAGAGAAGGGGTCAGCAGCTTACCGGGGATCTAACTCCTTGGCCACGCGCTTAGCCTTGTTCCACTCCTCACCCTCAATGAAAGCATCGATCGCTTCCTTGACTAGGTCCAGGTTCAGGTAGAGCTCTGCAGCCTGCACAGTGGGGGAATCAGAGCCTGGAGACCATCTCTCCTCCATTTCCACAGAACTAACTGAGGTCACACCTGCCAAGAGGCCCACCCCACATGCCCTCCTGGGTGTAGATGGCACCGGAATTCCACCCTCTCCGTGAATCTATTTCTTTTCTGTCCCAGTACCCTACTTACTGCACTGTGCTTTCCAATTCCAATCAGCTGGGGTCCCACAGCCCGAACTACTTCCAGACTGCGTTGGGGAGGCAGAAACTTGATGGCGAGTTCAGCTGCCTGAGGGGTGGAACAGAAGATGACAACGGGTAGGAGAGACAAATACCACTGCGCATCCTCAGCCTGGTCTGTTTTTTTTCCTTTCAGTTGCCAACTTTCTCTCTTGCACTCTCCCTCACCTTCTACCCTCCTGGGCAAGGCCTGCCTCACGGTCCCTCAGAGCCTTGAAATGACCATCCGCAGATCTATTTGTTCTCAGCTCCTCTGTCAGACACTCTATGCTGTCTGAGGTCACTGCGTTTGGTCCTGCCCCTCTTGGACAAACTGGTTTCTCAAGTTCTTTGTCACAAACAGAATCTTGGTAGTGTGGTGTAGAGAAAGAAGGCATTCTGCAGCTATTTGTGCTGGGCTTTTCTGTGCCTCAGTTTCTTCACCTGTAAGAGTGACGGTTGGTCTAGATTTGTACCATCAGAATAGAAGCCACTAGTCACACGTGGCTAGTCCCAAATGAGATGTGCTATCAGTTTATTTATTTATTTATTTTTAAAGAGTTTATTTATTTATTTGACAGAGACAGCGAGAGAGGGAACGCAAGCAGGGGGAGTGGGAGAGGGAGAAGCAGGCTTCCCGCTGAGCAGAGAGCCTGATGCGGGGCTCGATCCCAGGACCCTGGGACCATGACCCGAGCTGAAGGCAGACGCCCAACGACTGAGCCACTTAGGCGCCCCGATGTGCTATCAGTTTAAATACACCCTGGGTTTCACAGATTTAGTACGAAGAAGGAATGTAAAATATCTCAATAAATTGAGAAATAAGTAGTATCAATAATATCATCAATCAATAAGGGGCGCCTGGGTGGCTTGGTCAGTTAAGCGTCTGCCTTCGGCTCAGGTCATGATCCCAGGGGCCTGGGATCTAGCCTGGAGTCAGTGCTCAGTGGGGAATCTACTTCTCCCACTTCCTCTGTGCTTCCCCTCCCCTCTGCTTGTGAGTGCATGCGCACACGCTCTCTTACTCTTAAATAAATAAAATTTTCAAAAAAAAATCAACCAGGGGCGCCTGGGTGGCTCAGTCGTTGGGCGTCTGCCTTCAGCTCAGGTCATGATCCCGGGGTCCTGGGATAGAGCCCCGCATCGGGCTCCTTGCTCCACGGGAGCCTGCTTCTCCCTCTCCCACTCCCCCTGCTTGTGTTCCCTCTCTTGCTATGTCTCTGACAAAAAAAAAAAAAATCAACCAAGAAAATATTGATTATATGTTGAAATTTCGAGTTTAGATATATTTGATTAGGTAAAATATAATTATTTTCTTGTATTTCTTTTTACTTATTTGAATGCAGCTACTAGGAAATTTTAAACTTTCATGTATGACTTACCTTTGTGACTTGCATTGTATTTCTTTTGGACAGTTGCTGGTCTAGATGACCTTGGAGATACCTTCCAACCCTAAAACTCAGTAATTCTACAAACCTGAGCATTCTATAAGTTTACTCTTTCCACTGTGATGTTGACATCCTCATCAAATTTTAATTTCCACATACATGGTCTGTTTTAGCTACAGTCTATGTGCTAAATCCTCCTGGTCTCTTCCCCACCTATTCTTGCCTCATTTTCTTTACCTGTCAAACCCTTCAAAGCTTCAAGTGTCCCATCCGGGAAGTTGACTAATCTCAAGAAGGTATAATCATGTACAGATGCCAAAAGACAATGCTCCAGAGTAAAACATAGCAGATGCTTCATAAACACTTGCTGACTAAATTTGCTAAATTTGTATAACCATCAGTCCTTCTTTCTACTTCCTCCCCCCCCACCCCCACCCCAACTACAAGAGGCTATTCAATTACAAGGCCTCTGAAACCCGAGGGGAATTCTGCAGGGTCATCACTGCACCAACATTTTACTTAGGGAGCTGATCAATCTCACCCCCTTGACAACTCCTAATACCATATTTCTCTGAATCAAAGATGCCTCATTTATTTTTTGTTTTAGAGAGAGAGCACAAGTGGGGAGGGGCAGAGGGAGAAGGAGAGAGAATCTCAAGCAGATTCCACGCCCAGCGCAGAGCCCAATGCAGAACTAGATCTCACAACCCCGAGATCATGACCTGAGCCGAAATCAAGAGTCAGGCACTTAACCGACTGAGCCACCCAGGTGCCGCAGATAACCTCATTTAAAACTTCACATGCAACCCAATTTCTAAGATAGTAAAATGTGATTATATATTTGCTTAGGAATTGATGAAACATACTGGCTTAGCTTAATCTGCTAGATGCTTTTCAGGAGCTCCTGTATAGAGGAGGAGCCTCTGCTTTCTTCATGGCCTCCATCTGGCCCCAGCTCTGGACTCTGGATTTGCCCTTCCAGCTCTGGTCCTAGGCCAACCTTCTCCCTCAAGCCTCCCTGACCCCTCCAGCCCATAGAGGGCTTCTCTGAACTCCACCTTCTCTGAACTCCACCTCAAATCACATCCTTTAGTTTTCACTGAGATACACAATTAGTTGAGCCACGTTGGTCTAACTTCCCCCAATTTCTGGCTGTTAGGGTTCTGCCTTACAGCCCCTCTTATAGCCTTCAGAGGTTCTGGCTCTCGCATCTAGCAAGCACTCAGCAGATGCCTGCTGCCTGAGTGAAAACGAGAGGCAGAAGAGGAAAGAGGAATGTCTGAAGAGGGACGCTGGGTGTGAGGGCGGTCCGGGAAGCGGAGGGCCAGGAAGGGTGTAGCAGGCCTCACCTTCATCCGGCACTTTTCCACCAGGCTGCTGCTGCTGCCTGAGTCCCGCACCTTGAGGTAGCAGTCGACTGCACGGCTATACTCTCCAGCCTGCTCCCACTGTCGAGCTTGGTCCACTAGCCCCTCCATGCCCCTGAGGAGATGAGAGTACATGTGACCAGGAACAGGATGGGCAGCGCGGCCTACCCTGTGTATACCTTGTGAGCCACCCTCCAGCCCTGCCGACACTTGCTGCCTCCTGGCTTCATACCTGGCCCCCTTCTTGGTGGCTTCCCGCTCATACTCTTCCTGCAGAGCCTCCAGCTGGCCCGGCATGTAGTCCTTGCAGATCCGCAGGGCATCACTCCACAGTCCAGCCTCCTGCTCAGATTTCCAGTGATCAGGAAGGCAGAGGCAGGCATGACAGCTTCCCACTGCCACACAGGTGCTGTGTACTATGGGCCACTGATCGCTAGGTCCTTGGACCGCTCTTCTCCTTCTTGTCTCTTTCCCTCCCCCCCGCCCCAATGCTCACTCCCTGGATCTTTCCCAGTAGCCGGGGGGTTAGTGTAGTGCTCTGTGGGATCCCATACCCTCTCACCCTCCCCTCATGGCCCTGAATCCGGTGCCCTACCTTATAATAGTTGAGGGCCAGGCCCGGTCTCTGGGCCCGAAGCAGCAGTCCTTCTGCTTTCTGAAAGTCCTTCTCCTCCAAGGCCCCCCGGGCCTGCCCCATAAGCACCTCAGCGACGCTGTCAGGATCGTGGGCCTCGGCCACACGCTGAGCTGCCTCCCAATCCTGGTTATGGACAAACCTGCTCCCAGATGAGGACACAGGAGAGGCTAAGTACAGGACTGAGGCCTCAACAGTGGGAGGCAAACAGCCATGTCACTGAGGGGGTAGGAAATTTATTGGTACTAGGTGCAGATGAAGGTGAAGGTGACAATGCCAGGTCCTGGGGCTGCACTTGGGAGGGCAGGAGTAAGGAATTTATGGGTAACTCACATGAGGACTGCTTCCTTGGGTTTACCAGCCCTGATGAATTCAGCTTCAGCCCCTTCAAATTTACCCTATAGGGACAGAAGGGCAGCCGCACATGATAAGAAGCAGATTGCCATTATGGCAGCCATGAGACAGGAGGAGGTCAAGGTCAAAAGCAATGGAGAAGGATCACATCCATACCTCATCCTCCAGGTACAAAGCGTATCGGAGATGTATCTCAGGGGTTTTGTGCTTGAGGGCCAGCCGAGAAAGTTCAAAAGCAAATTCAAATGAGCTAAAATGGAAGGTGTAGATAAGGTTTGCCTACTCAGTACTTTAATTTTATAAGACAAGAAGAGAAACAGGGCAAGAGAAAACAGAAAGGGCAATGACGGGGGGAGGAAAAAGGACAGATTAAGAAGACAATCCGTGGGGCGCCTAGGTGGCTCAGTTGTTAAGCGTCTGCCTTCAGCTCAGGTCATGATCCCAGAGTCCTGGGATCGAGACCCGCATCGGGCTCCCTGCTCGGCGGGAAGCCTGCTTCTCCCTCTCACACTCCCCCTGCTTGTGTTCCCTCTCTGTCTCTCTGTGTCAAATAAATAAATAAAATCTTAAAAAAAAAAAAAAAGACAATCCGTATGAAGTGACACACAAGCACACAGACACGTAAAGGAAGACGTGTATTAGGGGACACTTGGAAAAGCCTGTGCTTCCTGTGACCAGTGGACATGAAGGAGTGGGATGGGCACGAGGCAAGGGACCGTGGTGAGCCTCACAGCACTACTCTGCCTGGGGAGCAAGGGTGCCTGGTTCTCCACCACCTCCTCCTGAGCCACATCTACACTAGCAGAAAAAAAGGGTCTCTCAAAAACAGTAAGACTACCCTTAGCAATCTGACTCAATGCAGGATTATTACTGGTCTTTGTAACATTTGCTGAAGAAAAGCTCTTTTTGCATTTAACAGAATCACACTTCCATTACTCAAAAGTAAGCTACTGGCTCAGTGCACCTTAGCTTTAAAAGCTGTCCTCTCTGGGGCACCTAGCCGGCTCAGTCGGGAGAATGAGTGACCCTTGATCTTGGGGTTGTGAGTTCAAGCTGCACCCTGGGCATAGTGATTACTTAAAAAGAAGAAAAAAAAAACTGCTCTCTTTCCATCATCTCCTTAGAACAGCTACAGATTAAACACTGTTCTGAGCCCCCGGGGGCAGACTACTGATTCATTCTTGCCTCTCCATCAAGTTCTTCCAAGGATTTCTTCACTCCTGCCTCAGTTTTTAGAAACGCTTCTTAGCTACACAGCAATTTTTCTTGTCTATCTAGAGGCTCTGTCTGGAACGGGGCCCATGGAGAGAAGCCTTAGGGCCTCACCAGTTGTCAGCGGCGTGGTCAATGGCAGCTTCCAGGAGTCCCAGCTTATTAAGCAGTCTAACTGCAGACTCTCCTCCCAGGCTCTTTGCCCACAGATAGGCCACGTGTTTGTGGGCAGTAGCTACCCCGTGAGCCTTGGCCACCTGTGAAGCAAAGCCATCTGGCAATCCTTCCACGCAGGGCCACATGGCTGCTCCCGCCTCCCCTGGGACCTGACTTCAGCTTTGACAAGGATCAGGTCCTTCTACTAGAACAGGGAGAGGGCTAAGTTTCGGGGTCTACTAACCTGCTGAGGGTCCAAGCATGGACTCCAGGTAGCCCACAGACCCTTCATACCGTACGTGAAATTTTGCCTATCGGTGCGGACATTTTTCAAAGATACCGCAACCAGTTCAGAATGAGTCACTTGAGAGTGGGAAAGAGGGACGACGTATCCCCAGTGTGACCTGGGCTCCTTACCCGGTAGGCCTCCTCCCAAAGCCCATTGGACCGGTACATGTTCACCGTCGCCTTCCACTCCTGAGCCTCGAGGTAGTGATACTCAGCCTCCTGCAGTCGGCCTTCAGCCTCCAGCTCCTGGGGAAAGGAGGATCAGGATGGAGCGAGGCAGACACGGAGCCTGCTTGGAGAAGAGAGGGCCGAGACAGAAGAAGGGCTCACCTTGCCCAGGTGCAGGTGTGTGTCACTGAGGAGATCTGGGTGGTGCTTCCCTACCAGGCGGATCATATCATCATACAGCTTGTGCTTTTTGAACATGGTGATGGCAAGATCAGGCTCTTCCACTGTCACGTAGAGCCTGGGGAGGGGACATACACCCGGGGCCTCCTAGACCCAGATTCCTGCCCCTACAGTCATTCCCAAGAGATCCCTCAGCGCCAGTTCTGCCTGCAGCCCTGACGCCCCGCCGCCCTCCACACCTCTTCCAGGGCTGCGGCTCACCTTTCCGCCTCACGGTACTTGCCCTGCTTCTCCAGCTCCTGAGCCTGCGTGACGTACAGCACCGACACGTCTTCCGGCCTCATGCACTTCGTGGCCAGCTGTGCAGACACACAGAGCCTGAGCATCTCGGGCGCCGGGTTCCAAGGGCAGTAGAGGGAAATGCGGAGCGGCCGGGGAAGCGGGGCTTGGGGGGCTGCCTGTTTTCTCAGCAACTCTGAACCCTCCCAGCAACCGTAGGAGTTTGCATGCTGCTGCTTTCCTGGTCAGTCCAGGGAATCCCAAGTCCATACGGAGCAAAGTCAGGACTATATTCCGCTCAGGCAGGAAGGCCAGAGGTGCCCTGTGCTGGGGCACCCATTCCCGCTCCCACTGTACCCACCCGGTTCTGGGTGCAGGCATGGAATGAAGTTGCCACTGTGACTAGAGCTTGGGGAGGGGTATTTGGGACTCCCCAGCTCCCAAACCCTTCTGCTCGCTTTGGGATTACAGGTTTGGGAACGAGGGCCTCTTCATCCTTGCCTCTCCCTGTGGCTAGGGATCAAAGTTCTCCAGACTCTCTTATTTTGGTACTCCTTCTCAGCTTTCACGGAACCGGCTGAAGGGGGGAGATCAGAGCCCAGGGAAAGTGGCAACACCCCCAGAGAGGTGGAATTCTCTGAGGAATTCCACCCCGCTCTTTACCTTGTGGGCTTGCTCCCAGCGGCCAGCCTGAGTGTACATGTCTATTGCATCTTTTGTGCGGTCTCCCTTAATGTAGAGCTCCTCAGCAATCTGTGGTTGAGAGAGGTAGATACAGAAGGCCAAGAGCAAGAGAGTTAAAGCGGCCTGCAGGGGGAAGAGCAAACCTCAGCCGGGATGGAGGAGAGCCAGGGAGACTGTTAGTCTACAACAGAGAAGGAAAGAGGGCTGTGGTGTCTCACACCTTCCACTGTTTTGGAAAAAAACAAACAAAACACCAGAATGGGGACAATACAATGGCAGTTTAAAAGGACCTTGCATTTCTGCAACACAAGGCAATTCTCTGTTGGAACTCTGATGGAGTTACATAGGAAGAGAGCTGGAGACTGGCTTCATAGATCTGGGAGAGGGGTCTGTGTCACGCTGGTATGAAATAAGGGGAGCAAGCTGCTTTCTTCTCACTCCAGATGGCTGGTGCTGCTGGGCCCCAGAAGGAAGGATTTGGTTAGGGGGCCCCCCACTCCCTGCTCTGGGTTCTCCTCGTTAGCCTGTACTGCGTTGCTTCTGGCTCCAGGAAGGGACTCTCCTCACCTCATACTCCTGCAGAGCTGCATAGTGCTGGGCCACGCGGGGGTAGTATTTGGACGCAGTGCTCTGGTCCTGGAGATCTAATATATAAATGGCTTTCTTCCACTGACGGGCGCCCAGGGCAGCGTCCACCGCCTTAATGGAGCACCTGGCATAGTTGGGAAAGGCATCCGTGTGTGCGCACAAGAGGGGGGGAGACAGAGGCAGGGACACACCTCACGCCTACTCCAACCTGCATTTTGCCATCTCTGTTGTAGGCCTTGGCGCCCTTACTTGCCCCATTACCTTGAACCTCATGCCCAATCTCCTTTGCACCCCTCTACCTGGCTTCAATGTAGTGATTAATGGCTGCATCGAGCTGCTTCTGCTGCACCAGATGATCCCCCCATGCCTCTTCCAGTCTCACCACTTCCACTGGGAATGCCAGTCGAGCCAGCTCCACCGCTGCCAGGGACAGAGAAGGCACTCAGCTAAGACTTCCAGGGATGGGACTCAGGAAAAGTAAGACAGGGAAATGGGGTATGGAAAATAGGTGAGAAGTGGAGGAATGGAGAACTGAGCTGGTCAACCCGAAGAGATGCACAAACAGGTGCAGGGAAGGCTGGGCTGTCGGTGATAGTACCTTTCATGAACGCGCTGCCTTTACAGTAGCACTCCAGGGCCCGCTGTGGGTTTCGAATCTTCTCAAAGAGATCACCTGCCTGTTGACACATAGCACGTGACTACAACGATAGCCCTGCTGCATAAAGAATCGAGGATCAGCCCAGCCACCGGTCCTGGCGGGGCCATGCACTCCAGGCCTCCTCTGGGTAGGAGGGGGCACTGAGTCCTGGCGATGAGGGACAGGAGTGGGAAGCCAGGCCTACCCTTTCATACAGCTCCCCCTTGATAAGGGCTGCAGTGATGTGTTCTACCAGCTCGGTGTCGGCCAGCAGTTCTTCCCGGGCCAGCACCAGTCGAGCAGCTTTGGCAGGGAGCCCAGCTTTGAGGTAGAGGCTGATGGCTGCTAGGCCATCCCCCTGGCTCTCCTGTAGTTCACCGGCTCGCTCCTCTTGCTGTGTGTCCATCAGCCACTGGTAGTAACCCCGGCGCAGCTTCTCCAGGGCCGGGTGCCCCTGGACACGCAATAGAGGCAAGAGAAGTCACATCCCTCCTTCCTGCCCTGCTGCTTCCCAAGCTTCTCCAATCCCACTGTAACAATGGAAAGCCTCCCGGTCTCCAATGTCCTAACTCCCAGCCCCAACCCTGTTCCAGTTCCTATAGCCTCCTTGGTAAGAGGAGGCTTCTGATATTGGTGGAACCGAGCTGTGAGCACCGTGGAGAAGACAGAACTGGTAGTACCTTGGCCTGAGCCACTGCGATACACTCATCCCAACGGTGCAGCTCCTGGTACATGTCCATGGCCTCCTCAACGGCATTCTAGGGGAACCCGGGCAGGGGAAAGAGGGACACCAAGAAGATACAGGAGGATCAGGAATCAGCAGGCTGTCCTCAGCCTCGCTACGATGCCAGCCCATGTGGCCTGAAAGCCTCACCCTTTACTTACACACAAGCAGTGGTGGATTTATTATGAAAGTAGAAGCAGCTTAAGCCTCAGGGCACCTTATCTGCATAGGCCCCTTCCAAGGCATTTTTTCTTAAAGAGGGCTCCTCAAATTGTATAAGCTTCAGGCCCCACAAACCCGGATCTGCCTGTGTGTGCAAGAAGTGCCAGGACAGGCGGGAGTACGGGGGAGGCAGCAGATAATTTATGAAAGAAGGACATAACCGTAAGGACTAATGCAGAAGGGGAAGTAAGGAGTGCCGTTAACTGCATAAACCTTTCCAAGTGCTCTCTCCCAGTGCTCTTTCTTCCCCTCAGTTTGCCTCACTGCCCCTCCCGCCCTGCTCCCCTCTTCAGTCTGGTCCCTCTGCTCCCATCACCTGTTCCAAGAAGATCATTTCAGCCAGCTTGTAGTTCTTCTCCAGCATGGCTAGGCGTGCTCGGACCTGGTAAAAGTCTGTTCCTTCTCCACCCTGTGGGGAGGAAGAAGGTTCTGCTTATTCTGTTGGTGCTGCAGGAGCCATTCTGTCTGTGTGAGCTTAGACAGGAAGGCCACAGAGACGAGGAAGCGAAAAGACTGGAAAGCTGAAAACCTTCATGGGGCTTAGAGGATGAGGTTTGGCAGGCAATTCCAGAGTGGTCTGACTTGAGGATGGAGGTGGGGTGGGCAGAATAGAGCACACGAGCCATGGCTGGAGAGCCAGGGATCACGGGACGGAGCGTGAAGAGAAACCTCAGCTTGAGAGACTGAATAATTCAGGAGGATAATACTTGCATATTCCCGAGACACTTGATCTGCAATCTCATTGGTTTCATGCAGGAATCGAGCTTTTGCTACATGGCCCAAAGCAGAAAAGCACCTAGAGTATGGAAGCAATCATAGTAACAGCAGTATTACTATAGGATCATTGTGAATTCGTTGGCTCAGCAGATATATACTGAGCATCGATTATGCGCCAGGCACTGTTTTTGCCACTAGAGACACAAGGGGATAAGACAGATGAGGGCCTTGCTCTCAGGGGACTTACTTTCTAGTGGAAACAAATAATTAGTAAGCAAACAAAGATATTTCAGAGAATGAAAAGTAAAATAAAATAGTGTGATAGTACATACAGACAGTAATGGAGGGGATTAGTTAAGTTGGTAGTCAGAGAACGCCTATCTGAGGAGCTGACATTTGAGCCAAGACCTAAATACAAGAAAAAGTCAGTTCCACAAGATGGGAAAAAATTATTCCAGGCAGAGGGAATACCGCGTGTAAGGTGCCACGGCAGGAGGGAGTTTGAGATGCTCAAAGGGCCCAAAGGATGCCAGTGTGGCTGGAGACATGGGCAAGTAGGTACCTGGTATATGAAGGAAGCAGAGGCCAAATATCATAGGGCCTTAGGACATGGCAAAGACTATGGATCTTATACTAAGGAGAACAGTAAGCTGCTGGAAGGTTCTGAGCAAAAAAGTGACAATCTAATTTACGGTTTAAAAAATGATCTCAGCCATTATGGGCTGAATGGATGGTAGGGTGTAAGAACAGTATGAGTGAGACTAAGAGGCTTCTGGGACACTGCAGGTAGAGGTGTGGTCTGTTCTAGGGTGGAGACAGTAGGGCTGGGCAGTAAGGGCTTCAGGACATGTGCTGAAGACGCTGGGTCAGGGCCCTAGGACGAGCGGGTCATCTAGCTCTGGGGGCATGGGAAAGGAGGGAGCTGAGGACTCCTGGCAAAACAGCAGCAGTTGACGTTCACTGAGCACTTAGAATCTCCCACTTTCTTCACTGCTCCCACAGTTCCTCTTGACCGCCCTAGGGGGTAAATTCTATTATTACTCCCACTTTAGGGAAGGGAAATCGAGAAACCCCAAGGCTTGGAAAGGTTCACTTAACCTACGGTTATACAAGCTGGTAAATGGAGCCAAGATAACTCAGAGAGTCTGGAGTCCCGAGTTTGTCCTACTAACTATACTCCTATACCACATTCGGAAATACACAACACACAGATTGGGCGGTATGGGTGTTAAAACTCTGAGGGGCACCTACTTACAAGAAAGGGAAGCAAAAACAAGAGAACTCCTATAACCTGGGATGGAAGAATGTTTGGACGGGTTCTAAGACATCTGTTGGCACCGGAGGGGAGCGGTGCCTTAGCACTGGGAGGAGCGGCTGTCCTTTCTAGCTGCCCGGCACCTCAGTTCTGGTCTGCCTCACCTCTCGGCGATGTGGAGCTGCCGTGCCTCGAGCGCCAGTCTGCTCAAGGTTTTCCACATTGCCTCTGTTTCTGGGGTCATTTCCAGAGTCTCCAAGAAGGCTGTGGCCCTGAAGAGAGAAGGAAGGAAAGCAGGAGTCCAGGGTCAGCAGGACGCGGAGGAATACTGGTGATGCGGCCGGGGGCGACGTGGCCAGTTGTCCGGCCCATCCGAGGTCCTCCCGCCTCAGAACCGGACTCTCCCACCACCTCCCGGGGTATCAGCCCAGCCCCTCACCGGCTGTAGTTGCCGTCATCAATGGCTGTTCCAAACTCGATCAGGCCCTCGTCCAGCGTGTAGGCAACCGTAGTCACACCTTCGGTCACCATCACCTCGGTCTTCCCCCCGCCCCGCTCCAGACCTACCACATCGCCCTGTAAAATTTCAATCCCCACCCACCGAATTCCAGGTTAGTGTTTCCATTGACTCCATTGCAGAACAGACCCACCCTTACCCAACCCTAGCGCTCACACACCGGGGGAATTACAGCGGCCCTTGGTTGCCTAACATTTAGTTTCTTTCAAGCAGGTATGAATTCCTTCGCTATGCTAATGTCCTCGGGTTAAAGTACACTCAGAGCTGTGCCGCACTAATGCCTGGAGGTAAAGTGACTATGTATGCATCCACTTCTTCCTGCTTGAGTCCTTCTGTTAAATACAACTTCTACCTGGGACGTACTTTTTAACGCATTCGTTGCTGAGTTCACCTGAAGAAATCACTAGGCATGCTTCCTAGTCTCCCACAGGAGGGAGGGAGGGAGGGAGGGAGGGAAGGAAGGAAGGAAGGAAGGAAGGAAGCTAAAACCTGAGCAGGAAAAAAACAAGAGAGCAAGCAGAAAGGGTACAGTTTCCCTGATGGCAAACAGTAGTGGGCGAATAAATCAGGGATCCTCCGGCAGGATGAGAGGGCGAATCTGAGAATCCGTCAGTCATGAAATCTGGGATCGTCTCTTTAAGAAAGGGAACAAAAGTCATTAATATGCCTGATTCCTGCAGAAGCAAACACTAATCATCTCTGGAGGAAAACATGCCCATGTTAGGCCCTTGAGATTCTAAAAGATTATATTCAATGTAACATGAGCCCCAATTAAAAAAAAAAGTACCAAAATATAAGTTAACCACCATAAAGGAGTAAATACTAACTACAGCACTTTTGGACCTCCAAGGATTTCCAATATTAAAAATAACAGTTATGAAAAAAACAGTTATGGAATATAAAACAAGTGTAAAATGTTTAAAGACCTAAAAGATGGAGTGAAAAATTAAACAAGAGACAAGAGACTATAAAAAATAGCCAGGTTGTACTCACTTTGGCAGCACATTTACTAGAAAATGACCAGGCAGACTGGAGAAAGAACCAAATAAAATTATATGAAAAATTCAATATTTGAAGTGAAAAAAACTCAGTGGGTGGTTTCAATAGCAGATGAGACAATGGTGAAAGCGAACCCCTGACTTGCAAGATGTTTCTTAAGGAATTACCCCGAATGTAGCATGGAGCAAGAAGGAGAAAGGAAGAATAAGAGGTTATAGAGGCACAGAGACAGGACAAGAAATGGAACACATGCCTAATTAGAATTCTGAGGTGAGACTAGAGAGTTCGAGAGAAGCAGCAACATTTGAAGAGCTCATGGCTGAGGAATGACGTGTCCTGGCAGATGCGCCACACACACACACACACACACACACACACACACACACACACACATGCATATACACCAAGCACGATAAGTAAAAGGACATTTATATGCAGACATATTGTAGTGAAGCTTCCGAATGCTGAAGAAAAAGAAGACTTTAAAAGCAACAAGACAGGGCACCTGGGTGGCTCAGTTGGGTAAGTGTCTGCCTTAGGCTCTGGTCATGATCCCAGAGTTATGGGACTGAGCCCCACATCCCTCCCTGCTCAGTGGGGAGTCTGCTTCTCCCTCTGCCCCTCCCCCTGCTCCTGCTCTCTCAAATAAATAAAATCTTAAAAAAAAAACAACAAGACAACAGAAGGGGCTGTTAATAAACTCAGAACTAAAGAAGTCAGTCAATGGGACAGTATATGTGAAAGTCTAAGAAAAACTGTCAATCTAGAAATGGGAACGGAGTCCAAGTATCTTTCAAGAACAGGCCAAATAAAAACATTTTCAGATAATTCCATTTCAGTAATTTTCAGAAACTGAGCATTTATCTTTAAAACACTTTCCCTCAAGGAGAAGAAAAATAACTCCAGAGGGAAGATCAGCAATGCAAAAAGAAAAAGTGAACAGAGAAACTGGCACCATGATGGGAAATGTAAACAAATTCTGGCTGTGTATAAGAATAATGTCTCGCTTTGGGGATAACAAAACACTGGACAATAATGGCAAAGGGGACGTAATCAAAGTTAAGGTCCTTGTATCATCTGCCGGGGGATCTGATGCTAAATAACTTGAGACTATTAATTTAAGGAAATGGTAAACTTCAGAGGGTAATCACTATAGGAATCAAATGTATAACTTCCAAAGCAAAAAAGTGAAAAATGGTGTTTTAAAAAAGGACAAAACTCGGGGCGCCTGGGTGGCTCAGATGGTTAAGCGTCTGCCTTCGGCTCAGGTCATGATCCCAGCGTCCTGGGATCGAGCCCCGCATCGGGCTTCCTGCTCAGC